TTAATACAGTTAACATATCTGTAATTGTATAACCTAACATTGATATAACCTGATGTTTCACGGCTCCCATAAAAGTGTGCAAATATGTACAGACGAGCGCCCATTCAACACCTGCCACGCACCACATGTCCCCGTTACCAACACACACACACACACACACACACACACACACACACACACACACACACACACACACACACACACACACACACACACACACACACACACTACAGGGCCCCACAATGTATAATGTTAGACTGAAGCACCATTTACTGCACTATTCAACCCTCAAATTAAATACACACACTCACCCCCCCCCTGCCTAAAACGCCTACATTGGACTCCTTTGTTTACTTCTTCCATACTGACGTCACTACGGAACACTCACGCTTCTATTGGCCAACACATTGTACGTGATTGGACATCTCTAAGCGAATCACAACAGCTAACCTAAGGGACCTAAGGGACACTCTTAATTAACAGAAGTGAAGTGACTCAGCCTACAGTCAACTAGACTATATCCTGACAGTGGAAACATTGAGTTATTGATTTTATTTATGGATGAAAGGCTGGGGGATATGAAAAAAAAGAAAATATCATTGCATTTTTTAAAGAATACCTAGATTTTGTGACTTTTGGTGCATTTACAAAATAATATAAGGATAAAAGTGGTCCCAAGATGTTAGAAGACAAAGAAAACACAAAGAAGCAGCAACACAAACAACATTAAAAACATCATAGAATGATAACACAGGGGATGCAATTAATCAATACTGAATGACGTTAACTTGTTAAGTCAGAACATGCATGATCTAAATGAAACTGTCAGCGATGACATGAGACATTTCTCTCCAGGAAGTTGTATTGCCTTTTGTCTCAAAGCACACATTGCATGCTGGGTAAGTAATGAATAGCTCTGAAGTTGCAGCATGAGGTTCTCCCGCCCCTAATTGACCGGCAATTGACCGTGTCCCGGGGCAAAACAGGACGAGTTACTGTCGGGTCAGCAGGGATTACTCAGATCAGACTAATCAAAAAGAGAGGCACTGGGATACATTACATAATGCCTACTCAAAAGGGATCCTTTCTAATTTAAACAGTGACACATGAGGATAAGTCAAAATAAACATAAATAATGAAGTAAAAATAGTAAGACATTTTCTCTTTTTATCATAGAATTAGGCCGTCCTCACTAGAGCACCAAATGGGTATTAATCCGCCGTTGAAAGTAGTCCCTGACAAGAGAATTTCTCCCCTCGCCTGCCTCCGCCCCAGCTTCCACCCCAGCTTCCACCCCAGCTTCCACCCCAGCATCCACCCCAGCATCCACCCCAGCATCCACCCCAGCTTCCACCCCAGCATCCACCCCAGCTTCCACCCCAGCTTCCACCNGGGGGATAGTTATCTAATCATCACTCAATGTTCTTTATAAATCTGTGGAGTGATGAGGCCCGAGCCTAGACGCCAAACTCAAACTATATGCTGCTTCTAATAAACATATTAAGAAACACGTGAGTTGTCTGACTGAAATGGGATTTGTTGACAATAAGAAAAATATGGAATAATGCCCAGTGTTTTTGTTCTTTTGACTTTAGGGGCCTTCCATCTATTTTTTGTTATTTAT